AAGAGACTACAAAGAATTATGTTGAGAGAAGGATGTGAGAAATAAGATACATGAGATTGACATTATTCACATTTAATTTGTGGGTTGTATAGTACATGCAGGTAGACATCTGAATCCAAAGGAAGAGAGGTGAGGGCTAGAGATAAAAATATGTAAATTACAATCAAAAGTTGAAGTCCTACAAGTGGATCATGTTACTTTGTGGCAAATATACAAAGCATGAAGACAGGTGGAAAAAAAACCCATAAGCACGAAAAGCAAGACAACGCTATATAAATAACTACTTCAAAAACTACAATCAGATCATCTACATTTAAATCATCTAAATGTACATGCCTCATTGTTGAAATACATAAAGATAAAAATCTAAATATAGTCCAATAATCTAGATATCCAGAAATAGCAACTGTTAATATTTTAGAGTATTCTTTCTAAATCTTCCAAGTCATACAACCCTAAATTGTCTATTTTTTCTTGATAAAATTGGAATCATATACAACTCTGCATTGTTTCACTTTATTAAATTAGTATTTTCAATGCTATCTGAAATACTAATGATTTTTATTAAATACTCCAACTTTTGTAAGCCACTGATTACTGTTACCTAACATACTTGCTTCTTACTGGGAAGGGAGAATCTATGCCACAAATTTAAGGAAAAATAGGCTAATTTAAAAGAACCACCAAAAACAATAATGACCATTATAGTACATTTTCTCAAGTGATTTAATTAGGACAAATATTATTAAAATACACACTTGACATGCTCATTAATAGATATTGATGAATTTTATTTAAAAACAAAATAGAAAAAACTCAGACAACAGAGATGAAAAACAAGTTGTTTTAATGTTTTTGGGGGCTATCAATACCAACGGCCCTTATATAGTTGTGAGGTCATTGTGAAGTTCAAATGAGTTAATACACAGGAAGAACATACAACAGTACCTGACATATAATAAATGCTTAATAAATATTGGTTATTACTACCATCATCATTAGTTCTTGATGGAAGTAGTGTTTATTACATGGAAAAGAGAGGCAGAAAAAACCCAGACAGATGGAACTGCATTCTTTTTCTTTCATTTTTCCATCTTTTCTACATTAATATACTGCTTGGACATCAGTTTAAGTGTTGCAGTGAAAGTATTATTTTAAAAGCATTAGTAAATATGTACCCTAACCTTAATAAGATACTTGAGGGAAGAGTGAATTTTTTCTACTTCTTCTAAATTTTCACTACATGGCAAAGTACACGTAATATGGACAGTGAATACTCAATAAATAATAATGTCACAAATCCTTGTAAGAGAATAATAAAAACAACAAAGTAATAAAAAGAAATTGTGAAGACATTAAAATAGAGATCTCAAAGCCAATATTAATATGCAACAATTCTTAGACATACAGCAGAGTGAAAAAGTGAGGTGCAAAGCTTTATTGTTAACCACAATGAACAGACCACACTCTTTGCTCTTTTCTGGGCACAACAATTTAGCAGAAATACTAAAAACACTGAAATATGCCCAAAAGAGAACAACTGAGAAACAGTTCAAGAACTGAGATGCTCACTCAGACTATATGTAGAACAGAGAGGGTTTGCCCTCCTGCTCCTCTCCTCCAACTTCATCAGTGAGAAAAAGGCATCCTACAAAAAATGACTAAAAGATTTTTCTATTGTCCAAAGGCAATTATTAAAAGATGGCCACAACACAGATCTAGACATCTCTCAACTCAAAAACTTAATAGATCTCTTCTAAACCAAAGATATTATGAAAGATTAGTCATGAAGGTATTCAAGCAAAGACTGGAAAACAGCTTGCCAAGGATTTTGTGGAAAACACCCAAGCAGGGGGTAACCAGTCAGAATTCTAAGTTTCCATACAACCCCTAACCACACATCAATGACTATTTGCTCCAGGAAGGACAGTCCTAGACCTAAAATATATGCAAAAACGAGAGAGACAGAGGTAGAGACAGAAAGGTAGAGAGAGACAGACAGACAGACGGACAGAGATCTGCTGCCAAGAAATTCATAACATAATATATAAAATATATATTACAGTTTGAGACCATAATAGATGTCACAAAGCATTATTTGTTAAATTCCAAATGAATTCTATTAATATATAAGGGTCTCCTAAGAAGGAGAAATTTCTAAGGTTAAAATGCTCTCAGAAAGGTTTAAGAATAAATAAGATATGAGGTACTTGTGGGAAAAAATGTGTATGAAGGTTCTGAACAGGTGGAGAAAAGAAGAAAAGAGAGAACAGCAGAAATAGAAATGAAAAGCAAGTTAGAAACCTGTTTGGATGCATTAAAAACATGTTTCATGGGAGAAGAGCTAAGCTGAAAGGGCAGGTTATGGCCAGAATCAAACTGCACTAGGCCTTGAATATCAAGCTAAGTAGTTTCAACTTTATCCTTCATACACAGCAACTGTAGCAACTACTAGACTCTGCTGTAGCCACAGACAATGGTAAATAAATGCGGGGGCATGGCTGCATTCCAATGAAACTTTACTTACTGACACTGATATATGAATTACACCTATTTCTGTATCACAGAGTATTATTTTGATTTTTCTCAACAATTTGGAACTCAACTCTTGGGCCATAGAAAACCAGACTGTGAGCTGGGTTTGGCCCCTGGGCGATTGTGTGTCAAGCCCTGTCCTACACTAAGCTGCCTAAAAACTCTCCAAATTGTTGGCAATAAGCCATTAAAACAGAAGAAATTTTAAAATTTTGTGATTTATTTTCTCATAGTAAATGTACTTAGAGAGTTATAAAATATTCTTACAGAGCCTCTTTTTACTTGGAAGGACCTGTAAAAGAGAGTATAATCAAGGAGTTTGTCAGTTCTACTCCTAGCCCTGTCATTAACTCATTTTGTGACCCTGAACAAGTCATTCTCAATCCTCTGGCCCTAACCTTCTCATCTGTAAAGTGAAGGGATATACATTACTAGATGATCACTGTGCTCTCTCTCAGCTTTAGCACTCTATGATTCTACTACTACTTAAGGAGACTGGAGAGAAGAAAACATACACCAGACAAAAGTGATGACTGAGGACACAGAAAAGAAGAAAAAGGCACTGACTAGATGTGTGAGCAGACAGAACAGGCAGGAAAAAAGACCAGAAAAGTACAATATTACAAAAATCAAGATATGTTTTTTTAAAGTATCAAATGCAAAAGAAAATTAAAGGAAGAGAAGTGAGCAAGAAGTCAAGGAATATGGCCATCGAAAAAGAAAGGACCAGTTAGCTAGATTAAAAAAGGCAAGGACTTCAAGTGACAGTCGAGGCTTAAGAGTACTGTGCACGCTCCCAGAAATCGCGAGAGGCGCTGGGGAAAAGACCGAAGATGAGTCCAGGGAACAGAAAATAAAGGCACATGGTCCAGAAAAAGTAGAAAGAAAAAAAAGTTGAGGTAAACTTGAAGCTTCAGGTAAGGGAGTTAGCCTTAAAAAGGTGAGGCATTTTATCTCTAAAATCCAAAAGGGAAAAAAAAAAGCAGCATTACAGTATCAGTTTTCATGTTTTCTATACATCCAGTTAGGGAAATAAATCTAGTATTGGCTTTTCTTAAAGCAGAGTTCCACTTATTAATGTATTTTGTAATGGCCAAAAACTTAAAAACTAATTTTGATTTTCATAAGAATGAAAACCAGCAATGTACAGTTCTAAAAGAAAATGCATATTTAAATCTTCTTACAATACCTATCACTTCCATCCTTACTTATATGAGAGTTACTTTTGTAGTAAAGTACCTAAGCCCTAATTGGGGCTCAACAAATACTAGTGTTCTCTTTCTTAATAGCTCTGAAAGCTCCCAAAACAAGACTTCTGATTAATTCACCTGTTTATCTGCTTTGCACAGGTGATGGTTTATGAATACTGACACAACTGAATTAAAACTGTCCTTACAAAAACAATTACCGTCTGTTAAAGTTGGAAAAATATTTATATCATAGATACATAATTCCAATATCACTAGAGCTTGCTTTAAGTAGCAACAAATTACTACAAAGCAACTAAAAAATTAAGAAATTTTAATGACCGTCACTTATAAATATCAAGATCACAGCTAATTTCAGACACCTGCCTCTATTTAAGGTGTATGGGAAATAAAAATCCAAAGCATTAGCCTGAAGATCAACCAGTTAAAAATACACATTTGTATATGCTGAAAATATTTACAAAGCCAACAGGGATACTATTAATACATTGAAATTCACTGGCCAGTGCTGGATTCTACCATTAATCTTCCAATATTCAAGAGAAGCCAAGAAGTCGAGGCCTCTCATATCACTTGCTTTTAAGAAATTTAGTAAGTCACCCAAACTGGCATACACAACCCAAGTTAACAAAAAGTAGTTCAGCTCTCCATACGTTAATGTTAAGCTCTTACCTTTATGTCCAAGTCACATCTACTACTTTTCAGCGATGTTTGGTAGGCCCCATTTAGGCAGGACATTAGTGCTACCCAGTAACAGCAGTTCATAAAAGTCTTAACAGTTAACTCTGCCCTCCCACAGATCTCAAGTCGGGTGTAGATTTCACAAGCCCTGAAAGTTATACACTGCCACTGTCAAAACCAGAAGAAGCACCGTCACCCTGTCGAGCCCATCAAGAACTGTTGCAGAATTTTTTCTTTGCAATTACCTATCTTGGCTTGACATGTTAAATAAGGACTTAAAAAGCCATTTCCCCCAAAGCGGGACCTGATACCCTCCAGTACGCTCCTTTATTTGTCCAGTCCCACAAACCCGCGGGGGGACGTCTCTGCTTCCCTAGCCCCCTAGATCCACTCGGGTCTCCCAGCCGCTCGCCGCACCCACCGTGTACGGCACCCCCCACCACCACCTTTCAAGTCCTCCTTGCCCCACACCCAGGCCCGCACACGAGGTGGGCCCACAGCCGACCCCTCGCTCGGGCCCGCGCTGCCTCCAGTGGCCGCAGGCCTCAGGCCTAGCCGCCTCCGCTGGTCCCTCACCTCTTTCGGAACCAGTTGGTTCTCCTCTCCGGGCACCATCGCTCCGACTCTGGCCGCTCCTCTCCGCCCTGCCGGGGGAGGGGGGAGGTGGCGGCGGCTCTCTCTCAGGAGAGAATAGCGGTGGCAGTCATCCTCTCCACCGCCAGCGCTCTGGCAACCTAGGAGGCCTCAGCCTGGGCCTCAGACACCAGCGCGCAGATACCGACCCACCGCTCCGCCGCCGCCGTCGCCTTAGTTGTCGGCCCCTCCCCCAGCTCGCTGCAATCAATGGAAAAATGGCGGCGTCTGCTCTCGCGAGAATTCGAGCTTCGGGGCTCGGAGCCCGGCGCTTGGCTCCGAAGGTGGCGAGGCAGCTGTCACTTGCGTATAATTATGTCAGCTCTTCTTCAGCCTCAGGGGGTACAAAATTGGTTGAGCAGCTACGGAAACGCTTTTTGATAGAGGCAGTTTGGACTGTCCATCTCGGCACTCCCTTTGCCTGCAGGGAAAAACCCAGGCCTTAGAGTCCTCCATTCCTTCTCGGACTGTTCCTACTCCCTGCCCACCAAGGAAACACGGTGCCTAAAGCCCTTTCCCCTACCCTACCAGCAATATTGCTCTCCCTTACGGTTAGATAAGTGCCTGAACTTCATCCCCTCTTCACTTACTCCTGGCCTCTTCCTGGAAGAGAGAGCACCATGGTCTACCTCCTGGCCTCCGCCTTCAAACACAGCACAGCCAGAAAAGTGCGTTTTCTTTTTTCCCTTATCCCTGCCCTCCCCACGGCCCTGGCTGGAGGGACACCAGGGCCTATCTCTTGCTGAAGGGAGGCAATAGCCCTGGCCTCAGAGAAGTGGTGTCACATCTCCACCCCACGTACACCTCCATTAGAGCTGCATTCCCCTGTGGCCCTTCTCCAACAGGTTCCAGCCTGGGACTGAGATGGCTTCAGAGGGTAGGGCTGCAGTTTGAACCTATGATCCTCTTTAAACATGTTTTTTTAGAGGGCTTTAATCTCCTCTAGCAGTAAGCATTGTGCTATGTTTTACACTAAACAAATTCTCCAAGTTATTTTTCCAAATTCTATTCATTCTTCCAAAAAAAATTCTTTTATAAAGAATCAGTGCGATGTTTTTCATGAGAATTTCCATGGATACGGTGATTTGACAGCATGCTGGGATAATATAATCCTACCTTGTTCCGAACTACCTGTACCTGTGCTCTCCAAACTTTTTTTTGACTACACTTTATTACCTAAAAGAAAAAAAAGTCTATACACTTATGCAAGTTACATTCACATCCTGCTACCTATAATGTAAACATTTTGAATGTAAAAAGGATAAGATAAAGATGAAATAAACATTTAAAGTTAACTATGAGTTATTTTATACTAAAAATCCAACTTCAGGCCAAGATGGAGGCATAACTGGATACATTTTGCCTCCTCTCACAACCAAAAAAAGGACAACAACAAACAAAAACAAAAAAATGACCATAACTGCCAGGAAACCTGCTTGAACATACACAAACCCACCATCTACCCAGGAATCAGCAGCAGAAGGGCCTGATTAGCTTGTGGGTAGTAGAGGAAGTGACTGAAAGCCAGCAGAGAGCCTAGCAAGCAGCATTGTTCTATCGCTGACCCCTCCCCAACATACAGCACTACTCACAGTAAAGTGAGTTGCCCAGCCCTGGTGAATATCTAAGGCAACACCCCTTACAATGTAACAGGTACACAAAGACAAAAAAAAAAATATATGGCCCTAATGAAAGAACAGACCAAAGCTCAAAAAATAGAACTAGGTGATGAAGAGATAGCCAACCTATCAGATTCAGAGTTCAAAACACTGGTAATCAGGATGCTCACAGAAATGGTTGAGTATGGTTGAGAGGAAGAAGTAAATGTTATGCAAGATGAGATAAAGTAAAATATGCAGGGAACCAACAGTAAAGGGAAGGAAACCGGGACTCAAATCAACAGTTTGGACCAGAAGGGAGAAATAAACTTTCAACCAGAATAGAATGAAGAAATAAGAATTCGAAAAAATGAGGAGAGGCGTAGAAAACTGCAGGACAATTTTAAACATTTCAATGTTTGAATCATAGGGGTGCCAGAAGGAGAAGAGGAAGAGCAAGAAATGGAAAAGTTATTTGAAAAAAGAATGAAGGAGAACCCCAATCTGGCAAAGGAAATAGACTTCCAGGAAGTCCAGAATGCTCAAAAAGTCCCAAAGAAGTTGAACTCAAGGAGGAACACACCAAGGCACATCATAATTACCTTACCCAAGATTAAAGATAAAGAGAGAATCTTAAAAGCAGCAAGAGAAAAGGGACAGTTACTTACAAAGGAGTTCCTATAAGACTGTCAGCCAATTTCTCAGAAGGGACCTTACAGGCAAGAAGGGTCTGGAAAGAAGTATTCCAAGTCATGAAAGGCAAGGACTTACATCCGAGATTACTCTATCCAGCAAAGCTATCATTTAGAATGGGAGGGCAGATAAAGCGCTTCCCAGATAAGGTAGAGTTAAAGGAGTTTATCACCATCAAACTCTTATTACATGAGATGTTAAAGGGACTTATCTAAAAAAAAAGATGATCACAAATATGAACAGTAAAATGATAAGAAGCTCTCAACTATCAACAACTTAACCTAAAAAAAACAATGAAAAAACAAACTAAGTGAACAACTAGAACAGGAACAGAATCACAAAAATGGAGATCACATGGAGGGTTATCAGCAGGGAAAGGGAGGGGGAAGAATGGGGGGAAAGATACAGGGAATAAGAAGCATAAATGGTAGGTACAAAATAGATAGGGGGAGGTTAAGAATAGTATAGGAAATGGAGAAGCCAAAGAACGTATATGCATGACCCATGGCCATGAACTAAGGAGGAGGGGTACAGGGCAGAGGGTAATGGGGGGGGGGGAATGGGACAACTGTGTAGCATAATCAATAAAATATTTTTTAAAAAGACTTGTTACTCTCAGTGAAAATATTTAGTGAAAGCGATATGATTGACTAGGTCTCAGTGCTTTACAAAATCTTTAATATCTTGTGAAAGTTATTAAAATGTCTGATTCAACCTTCAGATTATTTCTGTAGTTCATTGTAATGACTGTCATAAGCTGAAAAAGATAGAAAGATATGTAGATCCTAATGGAAGAAGTACATCTTTGGCTGCTCTTACTAATGTGGTTCCATTTTTGTCACTTCTATCCATCAACCATGAAAAGTTTTTGTTGCAATTTAACTAATAACTTTTTATTTTACCTATTGTCAGCCAGGAGATGTTGCATTTTTATATTTTTAACAAACGGGTTCAAAAATATTTTTAACAAATGGGTCCATAACTCTCTGGAATCATTGCTTAGAGGATTTTTAAGTAGGTTGAAAAATTCTGTCTTCAAGTTTTAGTGTACATGTATAACTTTTTTTAAGTACCAATAATCTTGTCTTCATTTAAAATTTTGATATTTTTGTTCATCACAGATTTTCACATTTTGACTTTGTAAAATGTTACATTAAGATAATTATTTTGATTCCTGAGTTTTGGGGGCTCCCTTAAATTGTGTACCTGAGATGAATGCCTCACTTGCCTCACTTGCCTCACAGCAATCTCAGCCTTGGGTAGCATGCATACATTATTTTTGCATCAAAATCACACAATGGAAGTGTTTCCAAATCTCTGATTTCAAAATGTCATCCCCACTACTTGATAAGATGACTTCTATAGAACTCATACTAGAAGTAGACATGTCCTGTCTAGTATTGTTTTTTTGGCTTATGCTTGCATTTGTATCTCCAACTCATGTTTTCTTTACAGGAATCTTTTTCTAAAAGATTTTATTTATTTATTTTTAGAGAGGGAAGGGTGGGAGAAAGAGAGAGAGAGAAACATCAATGTGGGGTTGCTGGGGGTCATGGCCTGCAACCCAGGCATGTACCTTGACTGGGAATCGAACCTGCGACACTTTGGTTCGCAGCCCACGCTCAATCCACTGAGCTATGCCAGCCAGGGTGAAATCTTTTTTTTTAGCTCCTTTCATTTTAGTGGGTGTTAGTTCAATGAAATAATAATGTAATTGGTAAATTTACTTAGCCCAGGACACATAAACCAGAATAAATCACAATATATTAAAAAGAAAGAAAATAAATAAATCCCTGAATTATTCTCCACATTGCATAACTTGCACTTTTCACTCATCAATAGTGAGATGCCAGTATAAATCTGTATACTAAATACTTGTAAGACATTTTTTAGATAAAAAATATTTTGAAGGTACTAATGTTTTCTTCCTATGATCTACCTTCTCTGGTTACACACTCTTCTCTTCTCTTCAGAGGCCTTTAGCATGACTTTACCTATCAGCCTATTAGCTTGATATGTTGACAGGCATACAATAAATATTTCTGGATTAAAAATGTGAATGCACTAATTTATTAGTAAATAAGTGGACCAATAGAGATGTAGGGCTACTCTTCCTAGCAAGTGTAGTTACTGATATTACACATACATGTGCTTATTTTATAGATTGATTCTGACTCCAATCCTGACCTTTCCCATGGGCTCCAAACTCATACAACCAACTATCTTTTTGATGACTCTACATATCTCGAATTTAACTTGACTTGAACAAAACATTTGATTTCTAAGCCTCTCCCACCTTTCTCCTGCAACATATGTTCTGTCCGTTCTGCTACCTCAAGAGATTGCACCATCAATTCAGTTTATCAAGCCAAAAAGGTGGGAATCTTCATCTTACATTTAATTCATTAATAAACACTGTTGCTTCCTCCTCTGAAATATATCCAACCCAAGCACTTCTCCTTATGTCCACTGTTGCCCATCCCATTCCAATCATCATCTTTTCTTGCCTGGACTACTGCAACCGTCTCCTAACTGGGCTCCTGGCTTCTACTGTTACCCTCCAACAATTTGTACTCCACACAGCAGCTTTTAAAAATATTTCAGATTATGTGCTTCTCTTAATTAAAATCTTTCAAAGAGTCACCACTCCACTCAGCTTAAAAACCACACTCCTAGTGATGGCCTGTAAAACCCAATGCAATCTAGTCTGTCTGCCTTGCTCATCTCATGTACCACCCTTCCTCTTACAACAATGACACACTACTTAGTTTTTATTGAAGTTTTTCAAGTACAGCACATTTATCTCTGCTACAAAGACTTTGCACTAGTTATTCCCTTTCCCAAATGTTCTTCCCCCCAAATCTTTTCCCTTATCTAGTTCCATCTTGTCATTTGG